TCCTGCGGGTTAAAGCTGAATTTTCAGCATCATTACTCCAGTCTTCAGAGTCACATGATCCTTCAGAAATCATTCTAATATGCTGATTTGCTGCTCAAGAAACATGATTATGTTGAAAAGAGTTATGCTGTTTCATATTTTTATGGAAACCGCTATTTGGCAAGGATGCATTAATCTGATCAAATTGATCTGTTCATTAAAAAATCCCGCAAAACAAAGTGTATCGCTGTTTCCACAAAAATATGAAGCAGCACAACAGTTTTCAATGCTGATAATAATCAGAAATGTGTCTTGAGCAGCAAATCAGCATATTAGAATGATTTCTGAAGATCATGTGACACTGAAGACTGGAGTAATGATGCTGAAAATTCAGCTTTGCATCACAAGAAATAAATTACATTTTAAAATGTATTGAAATAGAAAACAGTTAGTTTAAATTGTAATACAATTTCACAATGTTTCTGTTTTCACTGTATTTTTGATCCAATAAATGCAGCTTTGGTGAGAATTAGAGAGGTCTTTTAAAAACATTAGAAATCTTAGTGAGCCCAAATCAAATAATTGCGCAGTGAACTAGATTTACAGATGGATGGGTGATGTCAATAGACAATTAGGCGTTGACTGGCTCTCCCCCTGAAAGCTCATCAGAGAGCTGATAATTAGAACAAACTGAGCTTAAGTGTTCACAAATGAAAGAGCCGATGACTGCAAACAGCAGGTCAAGGGCTTTAGTCAGCGACACGCTCCGAGAGACTCAGCAGTGAGCGAGAAAATAAGAGCTCTACTGAGGGCACGTCTGGAGATGACCGACGTCTCCTTTGTGTTTAGATCAGTGTTATTTTACTCTCATCAACATGCTATCATATTTTGAATTGGATTTCAATTTAATTTAAAGTTTTAGTAATTCTGTTGTGTTTTTGTTTTATTAGTTACTGGTCTTTAATATGTCTGTATATTTTTTTCATTATATAATTATTTCATTCTCATATTTATTTTACTAAAAATAAAACACGAATAATTCATGTTTTATTTTTAGTACATGGAGATCAACTAAATTAAAATGAGAAATGGTGCCTTCATTGGCAGCTGAAATAAAATAAGTTTGCATTTTTAACTTTTACTTTATTTCACTTAACATTCATTTTATTGCAAGTAGTGCATGTCAAATGATTAATCGCGATTAATCGCATCCAAAATAAAAGTTTTGGACCCACTTTATATTAAGTGGCCTTAACAACTATGTACTTACATTTAAATTAATAATTTGGTACAATGCACTTATTGTGCACATACATGTTTTTACACTGTACTTGTGTTTTTAAAATATCTGCATGTAATTACATCTGTAATTCATTTCTGTAATTACATTTATGATTACACTGTTGACCCATCCCTTACACCTTAACCCACCTTTAAACCTACCCAGACCACCAAACCTGTCTCTAACCTCACCCGTATCACACCTCAATAGCAGCAAAAGTGTTTTGCAATACAATATGAACACAATAAGTACATTGTACTTGTTTTTTGATGTAAGTACATAGTAGTTAAGGCCACTTAATATAAAGTGTACTTGTTTTTTGATGTAAGCACATAGTAGTTAAGGCCACTTAATATAAAGTGGGACCAAAGTTTTTGTTTACATAATATATGTGTGTGTACTGTGTACATTTATTATGTATACATAAATACACACACATACAGTATTCGAAAATATTTACATGTATATATTTATATTCATATACAGTAATTTATATTATATAGAAATATTTAAAACTTATATTAAAAATAAAACTTATTTTTCTTAAATATATACATGTATGTGTGTGCATTTATATACATAATAAATATATACAGTACACACATATATATTATGTAAACAAAAACTTTTATTTTGGATGCAATTAATCGCGATTAATCGTTCGACAGCACTAATTTCAAATAGTTTTAGTTTAATCTTAGTTTGGCCCTGTTACAGACACTTTTTTCCTATGAAATAAAATATTTTTACTTACAAATCATGAATTAATTGCTACAGTATGAATTCTGTTATATTATATGTTATATTTTTTAATAACCTTTGCATTATTCTTCTGATGTCTGTCTAACTGAACTCATCTTTGTAATATTATATGTATATATACAGTGGTGTGAAAACGTTTTTGTCCCCTTCCTGTTTTTTTAATTGTTTGCATATTTGTCACACTTAAAAGATTCAGATCATCAAACAAATTTTAATATTACACAAAGATAACCTGAGTAAATATAAACTGCAGTTTTGAAATGATGATTTCATTTATTAAGGGAAAAAAGCTGTCCAAACTTGCCTGGCACTACGTGAAAAAGTAACTGCCCCCTAAATCTAATAACTGGTTGTGCCACCCTTTGCAGCAACAACTGCAATCAAGCGTTTGCGATAAATGGCAATGAGTCTTTCACAGGAATTTTGGCCCACTCTTCTTTGCAGAATTGTTTTCATTCAGCCACATTGGAGGGTTTTTGAGCATGAATGGATTGTTTAAGGTCATGCCACAGCATCTCAATTGGATTTAAGTCTGGACTTTGACTTGGAAATAATTTTTCACGTAGGGCCAGGTAGGTTTGGACAGCTTTTTTCCCTTAATAAATGAAATTCTCATTTAAAAACTGCATTTTGTATTTACTTGCATTATCTATGTTTTTTGTTTTATATTTATTTATATGTATATATTATAGTTTTTATATATTATATAAATAATGTTAATAAATGTTAATTATGTATTAGAGTTTATATCAATATTCGGAATTAGCTTTCATTTTAATTTTAGTTTAAGTAATTTCTTTGGTGTTTCTATGTTGTATCTATCTATCTATCTATCTATCTATCTATCTATCTATCTATCTGTCTGTCTGTCTGTCTGTCTGTCTGTCTGTCTGTAAGTTTGTATTGTAATCCTGCATCCTGTTTGCTACCTCAGTTCAACGGCTCTTGAAGTGTAGTGTGATGGTGGGCGCTTTGAGTGTAGGCGTTGTGTGTGTAAGTGTGTGTTTTGTGTGTGTCAGTGTCATTGCAACTTGTTTTTGCAGTCGAGGGTCTGTCAGATTGATGGTCATTGAGACGGGCAGAAATAGAGGGATAGAAAAACACAGGAACCAGAAGAATTGAGCTGTCAGTGTCATTTAGAGACCCGCTGTGTGTGTGTGTGTGTGTGTGTGTGTGTGTGTGTGTGTGTGTGTGTCAGCAGAAAGCTCATCTGTGTTTCTGCATATGCGTGTATCAGTGTGTCTCTTTCTCTGACACAGACAGATGATAGTCTGGCTGTGATGTTATTGGTCCTGTAGGATGGAGCACAGGACACACACACACACACACACACACACACACACACACCCCGTCTCTCTCTGTTTGTCCTAATTCTTGATTTGGCCACAGGATGGCACCATGCAATAGAAATAAAAGCTTGATTTCTACAAACACATTGTCTTTATGGTCCTAAAGATTTTCTTCTAATACTGACGTGATCTTGTTTTTCAGGCTTGGAGGAACTATCTCCGCTTACAAAATTGTCCCTGATGAAATTGATGAGATCAAGGTACGGTAACAGGAAAATAAAATGGTTTTATCAACAGTTGATGTAATAATGATATATAGCAGCCTAAAAAAAACACACCACTGTTTAAAAGATTGGTGTCAGTACGATTTTTTTTTAAGAAATTAATACTTTTTTCAGTGAGAACACACTGAATTGATCAAAAGTGATAGTAAAGACATTTATAATGTAAAAAAAAATAATATTTCAAATAAATGCTGTTCTTCTGAACTTTCCATTCATCAAGGAATCCTGTCGCTGTATAATGGTTTCCACACCTCATTAAGCAGTACAAACAATTTCAACTGTGATAATAATCAGAAATGTTTCTTGTGCAGAAAATCAGCATATTAGAATGATTTAT